TTAACTATAATTTTATTAAACTTCAATATAAAGATACTGACCGGTAATATTTATAAGCAGTATTGTTCATGATAGTCGTCGTCGTTGGAATATTTAATTTAATTCTTCGTTTCATCTTCTTCAATTTTGGTTGTACAACTGATATTGAACTTGTTGATTTTGGTATTCTTGTATTTGATTTAATATCTTGCACTGATATATCTCTTTTACGTTTCGTAGGATTCCTCGTTGAATTTATTTCAGTTGATGAAACATTTTCATGATCTGGTTTATTGTTGGAGTTTATTGTATTTTTCATTGTATTATCAGTTGGATTCTTTTTTTTATCATGAATTAGCTTACGTCGATGCAGTAGTTTTTCGATTTTTCTTGATTTCATACCTTTTGCACGACACTTTCTTCGAAAACGTTGATCTTTTCGATTGCCACGGCATTTTTTCTTTTTAATTTGATTTTGAACTAAAAGATATTTTTGAACAGTAGTCACGTTCACATCCATATTCGAAATAATGATCAGTAGAAACAAATTTACAACTAAATCTAAAGATGAAAAAGAAAAACAAAACGGGATATTATTATGATTAACTAGTCAATAGATGATAAAAACAAATGACAAAAGGAAAAATGTTTCATTTTATTAAAGAATTATTAATTTGATTTCGATTGGAAAGATTCACGTTTATGTTTATAAATGTATTGAATACGTTGACTAATTTTATTACAACGTTCATTAATAAGTTGTACCAATGTTGAAGATAACTTTTCATTATTATTCAATGTATGCTGAGACGCATCCATTTTCTTTATGTTAACTTCATGTTTCTTTTTATATTCTTCTCGTTGATCTTCAGCTGATTTCAGATACATATTAAATAAAGTAATTCTCGATTGTATAGCAACGTCTTTAAATTGTTTCATTAATGCTTCTCGAACCGTTAAATTTTGAATAGAATCAATGCACGGATGATGAGATATTGTTGAGCATTCAAATGATTGACTTGGTAAATTGTAATAAGCAATTTTTTGTTTTAACAATTCATATTCTTGTTCTGATGTTTCTTGTTCATATTGATTTCGACAAATTTGTGTCATTAGTTGTTTCTAAAATATTATAGATTAAATTCAAAGAAGGTTTATTTGTCTATTTTTCAAAAGAAAAAAAAACATACTTAATATTCATTTGGTTTATGTTGAAAATATTCTAATTTCAATGCTTGAATATGATAATCATAATGAATCAGTTCTACTTGATGCTCTATTTTCTTACTTAACGAAGAATTAAGATTTTGTTCAATATATGTTATAATTATTTCTTGAATTGACAATGTATAACCTTGAAAATTATTTGCTTTAATATTCAATTCTTGTTGATATTGTTTTAATTGATGTTGCAGTGCATATAAATGATCATTGACAAATTTTAAACAAATTTCATTTTCATTTGTTTTATCCTTATCTGGATTACAGGATTTACTGCCGTATGATTTAGTGCCTTTGTAAACATTTATTTATTATTCATATATATTTATTTTTCAGAAGTTTTAGAAGAAGTTTTTGTGGTGAATCATATGATTATGTTAGATAAATATAATGATCGCAATGCAAAGGTTTTGGGTGTCAAAAGTTCGTTTCTCATATCAATGGTTCGTGAAAATACATTGAAATCTAACTATAGTTTGTGATCAATTAAATACATTCAAATAAAGTTTTCTTAACTGCATCTCAAAGGTTTATTTTTCATCTTAAACTTTCGTAGAAACATGTTGATCTTTATCAATAGTTCGTAATTTGAATAAAAAAATTGAGCAATAAGTTTATTTCCTTGCTCAAAGGTTTATTTCTCATGTCAAACGTTCGTGAAAATACATTGAAATGTAACTATAGTTTGTAAAAGTTTTCAAGAAAATCAAAAGCTTTTTTTACTTTTCTAGCTCAAAGGTTTATTTTTCATCCAAAACTTTCGTGTAAATAGATTTAAGCTAGACAACGGTTAGTAATCGAATAGATAAATTAAATGATATGAATTTTGTAATTTAATGACTTTCTTATTGTTTGAAATGGAAATGTTTTGAAATGATTAAAACAGTTTATTAAACGGATTTTGTGGTTCAACTATTATTTCTATTGATACTTATAGAATATATTCTCAAAAAATTTACGAAGCTAGAGGGTTAAGAAAATTCTTATTTTCACGATATAGAATACTAAATAAGTCGTTTCTTAATTGTTTGTTGCGACCATTATTTTATCCGAACTATAATTCATATAACTCACCAGTATTAATTCATAAAATGTTAGATGAACGTATATAACAATGTCATTTCATATTTCAGGTAAGTTATTTTAACAAGAGATGTTAGCATTGCTTTGAGTAGTCATGTTAATGAAAGCAAAGAGGAATGCGCCATTTATTAAATTGATTTAATGATCATGATTGATTATTTGTGATCAAAAGGAAACGTAATATTATGTGTACGAAATTTCATGAAGTTCCGTTTTCTTAAGTTGTCCTAAAAATTATACTAATATTGAATAATAAACGATTCAAATATTTCGCACACTATACATGATACGACTTAGAGACAAAGAAAGTGTATTAGTAATGACGGCTAATGTTTTTTTTACAGAGAATAAGAATGGTTCATATGAAATGTGTTTTCTTCGATATTTTCATTGTAGTGTGTTGATATGTAATTGGTTAAACGAAACGAACAAATATACTTCTTATTCTTTTGTTTGAATAAACCAAAAAAAGGAAAGGTCGTAACATTAAAGGCAAAATAGTTTTTTTAATGCTTCCTAATCAGAAAGCTATTTTACGCGATTCTATCTAAAATATCATATTTTAAATAATTTGAATGTTGGATAAATAGTGAAGTTGCTTTTCTGATCGTATCATGTGATTGCGTATATCGAAATATTGAGATGGTCAGCAAATTAGATTTACTTTATTCTTTCTCTGTTAAAATGCTTTTTTATGAATAAGAATGGACTATCAGACAGCTAAAGAGTTCACTTTATACTGATTAAAATAAATGAAGATTCATAAGATTATATAAACACTGAAATGGAATCAGTTAGATCAGTTATACGATATTGCGTCGAAAGAGTGTGGTATTTTGTTGTTTGGCTCGATTGTTTCACGATTTGGACGGTACTTGTATGCAGCGGCAACTATAAATCGGTTAAATAAACCATCTTCATTTCGATCTTTTTGGTCTTGACATTTCAAACCAACACCTTATATTAAATTAAAGAGAAAAATAATCTTGTCAACAAATAAGTTTAAGAAAATATAATGAAGATACATATAATATCATACCAGAGTTTCGATAGAATATTTAATGTATTTATTTTTGTATTTTACCTGATAAACATTCAATTGTTCGTTTTGGATGACCAGCAGCTATTATATTTAAACGCGGTTTAATCATCACATTATGTCTAGTAACCAATTGTCGACGTACAATGCCAGTTGGACTATAAAATTCACACATCAAACCACGATCATATGCAGCTTGATCAATGCGTGTACTTCTAAAAATACCAAGAAACACTGCCAGCTCATCCCATAACTATAGGATCGTTATTTATCATATTAAATAATATAAGATAATTACTTGCTTGTAATAAATTCGGTTGTTTTTCTAATTCACAGCATAAAGATTCCATATTCACTGACGCATTAATTGATGATTTATTTACAGGAATACCATCTAGTGCTTCTACAGCTTCACAAGCTTCTTTTACAATTCGTATAGGTGCACTCTTTTTTGAACCTAAACAATTAATAAAACAACGTAATCATCATAATTGTTGATGCTATTTGTATTTTTTTTTTCGTTCATGAAAAAAGGTCTATGCAAGAGATTTGAGACAAAAAATAACCTTAAAACTTTTTCCATTTGACTTATGAATCATAAATCAAAAATATTAGAAAGACTATAATGAAATTTTTCTTTTTTAAATATTATATCAAGATTTGCATTGCATGTGCTTTGAAAGACTATAAACATACCACTTCCACCACATAGAATGCCAAAAAGAATCAATGGTGTATTGTATGCTTGAGCACCCTTTAAAGAAGCTCCCATTGTCCAATGACATAGAGTAACGATTGTTGTTAAAAAATATAACCAATCGAAACATTAGTTGTTTGTGCAATATCATTTATTATTGCAAACGAATTTTCGTCTAAAATGAGTCGTAGATCTAATTTTTCGGAAACACATTGTTTTATTCTACGATTTCGTTCACATTTTCCCATGCTTTTCTATAATAAAAAACATAAGTTTAGGAATAAACATAAATTTTTACTCAAATCAAATAATGAACGATGAGATTGAATTGATCGAAAGAGATTGAAAAAAAGAAAGTAGACTGATCTCAACGACACAGCGTTTCTATTTAATTAACGTCTATTAATTTATAAAAGAAGAGCGAAAGTAAATGAATGATACAAACATTTGTGCGGTGTCAAGAAAATCATATAATTACATATATATGATACTTTCTTCTTAGCAAACATCCGTAATAATAAGACAAATTTTTATCATTTGAAATATGAAATAACGAACTTCACGAAAGAAAAAAACCAAAAATAATTACTAATAAAACTAAAACTTATCGTGAAAAGAATAAAATAAACGTAAAATACCATAAATACTGAACATAATATTTTTTTTGCATCGTGCTATGAGAATATGCTTATAAGCGATTATACCAATTTAAAGATAAACACTTTTAAAAAAATCCATATTCAAAAGCGCCATTGATTAATCAGTTCTTTTATGAGTTTATCAATATGTTCTTCAGAAACGTTTATATGACTACTTTTTAAATCTCATTGAGTCATTGAATTCATATGATTCCATTCTAATGCAACATTGTCAGTATGCATGTAGGTTTTCATATTTTAGAAAAAATTTATTAATTTTGGCAAACAGTCATTCATGAATTAGAATTTATTCATCTATCAGCAATATAAAAACAAAAGTGAACATGTATCTATGTTGAAGATTTTATGAAAACAGATGCTCAATTTTTTTAATGAAAAATAATAATATATGTCGTCTATAAACATAAATCAATCAGGCAAGATGTTTTTTTTTAATGTTATCAACAACAACCCTCTCCCATATTTCTTTCTATATAAATTTCGTTCTAGAGTTAAGGAAGTACTAGAAAATAGAATATCTGTATTACAATTCAATTAACAGTGATACAGATATATAGTTTCTTTTCTTTTCGTTATTTATTTTCTACGAGACTTTCTTGAATATATACTAATTCTATGTCATATGATTACTAATTTTATGATCTATCATCAGTAATTATGAGCTATTTAAAAAAAATATTGCAGAATAGTTTAATTTCAAATTTTTATATAAGATCTCCTACATATTTATTTTTATTTATTTAAAATTAGAATCTACCGATGAAAATATATCATATATTAATTCTACGCATGATAAATCTCAACTAATATTCCATGGAGCAAGATTTTGTATAAAACAAAAAAATGTAAATTCTACTTTATGGAGATGTGTTAAATCTAATTGTTCGACAAGTATTTCTATTGCAAAAAATAACACTATATTAAGAAAAAATGAAAATCATAACCATCTTACTGATTCAAGTGAAATTAAAATGTTAGAACTTCGACACAAATTAAAGCAAGACGCACAAACTACTTCAGCACCTATTGATAGAATAGTTGAGATAAGTTATTCCGATATGATAACTACACAAACGATAACCGATTCAATTGTAAAATTTCCTACTTTAAAAATATTGAAAAATACTGTTAGTAAACAAAGTCGGCAAACTAGACCGCCATTACCAAAATCTATCCAAGATTGACCTGCTCAATTACCAATACTACATACACTGACGAAAAATAATTCAAATTTTCTGTTATTTAATGGATCTTTAGGTGGAAAAAGAGGTTTAATATTTGCATCTATCGATGATATTAAATATTTAGCATATCAAAAATTTTGGTATGCTGAGTGTACATTTTATACTTCTCCCTCAATCTTTTACCAAATCTACAGTATACACGCTTTTGATGAAGGTTTATCAACTCCATGTGTATATGCACTTCTAGCCGATAAATCAGAAGAAACATACTATGATTTATTCTCAACGTTGATCAAAAAGATAATCGAAATATCGAATATGATTAAACTTGAGTATATAACCATTGATTTTGAAGTTGCCGTAAAAAATGTATTCTATAAACACTACCCGCATATTCAAGTAAGAAATTTTACTTTTTTGACATCTGCTTATTTAGGATTTTGTTATACATAAAATTTATTTCAAGTAAAATCATTCCCAGAAATATTCTATTATGGAATATACGGATAGCAGTGAATAACTTCTAATAGAACTATAGTAATGTTTCGTTAATAAGAATAAAAAGTATATTATATATACATACTGAACGTTACAACGAATGAAATCAATATTCAATACAAATGAAATTTTGTTTTAAATAATCTACGTGCATTTATTAATATGTATTATACTGATAGTTTGGATATATTGCTATGTTAAATTTCTTGCATACACATATATAATCTATCAGACAGAATAAAGGGTCTTCTTACTATTATATTGTTAATTTTTTTGTGTTATCAGAAACAGTTATTTTAATCATAGACACATGCACTGTCAAATTTCTTAGAATGATTTTTATTTGATCTTGCGTAAATATTCTTTATCATCCTTAAAATCGAAATAATATCAATAACAAATTATTCACATTGGAGACAATAGCTATTGACTTGTTTTTTCTAATCTTGGATTATTTTTCTTTCCTTACCAGGTTGCACTGTTAATTTCGTTTAGTTTAAAAATAAGCCGACTTTATCAACACTTTGAAGATCTCTGGGTTTATCAATTTGAGTTGAATTGGTCACTATTGCAATTAGAATACTATTCCAATAAAGTTTACAAGGATATATGAAATAAATTAATAGTAGAAAGCACTATAAATCGGTACTTTTCGAAAAAAAATCTCTATAGTTTTTTTCTTTTATGATATCATTTATTTTTGTGCATTCTACATCTATGTGTATATAATAAGTTAAGTGTACCAGAAACTGACTAATTATTTCAACACATATTAAGAAATATTAAATATCTGAAAATATATTTAACAAAAATGAATAGTTAATTGTTTAATAAGAGTTTAATTGTTTTTTTTAATACATTCATATAGGTAAAAGGGTGTCTTTTTCATTATGGAAAAGCACTTTTTCGAAATTTTACGAAATTAAATTTAAAAACACCATTTCAAGAAGACGAATCTTTACGTAACTGGTTTAGAAGCTTTGCTGCAATTGCACTTCTACCAGAAACAGATATGGAGGAAGCAAGTCAATATTTACGAACAACAAAGCCGTTATTATATGAAAGACAGATTGATTCATTTTTAGAATATCATGATAGAACCTATGGTATTCAGAGTAGTTTTCCACCAAAAATGTACAATCACTATCGAAATCTTAATCCACGTACAATAAATTATCTCGAAGAACGTCATAATAAATGGAACAAAAGGGCAATAAAACCTCATAATGATATTTACGCGTGCATCGATATGTTTAAGGATGAACAATTACTAGTTGCCGATGAAAGACAAAGGCACGAAGCAGGAGCACCACCACCAAAACGTCGTAGAAATACTCGAATAGCTGAAGAATCATTAAATCGATTGTGGGATAAATTACAAAAAAATCAAATTAGTAAAGAAACATTTTTGAAAGGCGCTGGACTTCGTTATTTTCAATACTTAAAAATAGAATAAAATAGTAAACTAACTGTATATGAAAAAAATTTTTTTTCCAAACGTTCATTTATTAAAAATCGAGAAAAAATCAGCATTCTAAAATTTTATTCCTCAATTTCATCAACTACATATTAAAGATTGATGAAGGTATTGATTTCAGCTTTGTTTTGTTTTTCCAATATCATCTAGAACGGTAAAAAAATTTGTTTGACTTCAATAATGTTTAAATGTTTATCTCGTATTCAATTTCTCTGAAATTTCGCATAAAATGGTCCACGTAAATATTATTCTATGTAGTAGAGATAGGTATATGCACGTGTAATGGATTTGAATTTTATGGATTTTTATCACCTATTATTTAAGAGTTTTGAATTCATACTTACAATGAGTAATGATAAAATATTCTTGAGAAAAATATTTATTTGAAATTTATTATCATTATAACTGAAAGTAATAATAATTCATTACTGAGTTATTTCAATTATTAAAAAGACTGTTTACGAAAGAACTGATATGTCATCGCTAATTCAAACAACAAGGACGATCATAAATCCGGAAATTTTGTATAGTTTCATACATACTATACAAATTTCTTTTCGTATAATTTAATTTAGATATAGATACACATGATTATCAAATGTGTAAGATAAAACTAATTTAATACTTACCATTGATAATACAGTGTCCGATTTTTTTAAAATCTTATTCTAATACTCAAATGTTTTTAATGTCGATTTACACTAATTTGTTTTAATCAGTTAATACTAAGATGAAATGCAGTAAATCCAATATGAAAATCCAATCCTCGTAAAGCTCTTATATTGAATAAAAATAATGACATTTTATATTTTTTTTCCGTAAAATTTCCAAATTTTATTTTTAAAAATCAAGAGGATTTGTGATATTATTGTTTTGTAGCAGTCATTTACTGAGGTAGAACGAGCAGAGGGTTGGGGGATGAAAGGGAAAAAATCACAAAATCAAATAGTTGAAAACTACTATCGTTTGTAAAAATTGCATTTAAGCAAAGCGCGCCTTTTGAAAGTTGTTTACGGCAGTAAATCGCACGGCAGTAAATCGCACGGCAGTAAATCCATGAAACGCCATGGTGGATACATTTGTATATTATTAAAGCTATTTGTTATTGTTATTATTTTCTAAACATGTATTATCTAACCATTTTCTTGAGACGAAAGACATTAGTCAAGTGTCTCTTCTTTGTTTTGTTTTGATGTTTTGTCCAGCCAGTTTATTGTATTATGTTATTATATAATAAAAGGCCGTGCTTCCACACTGTGAAATGGGAATTTATGATTGAACTGCTCTTTTTCGTACTCTATGCGGTAGCAAAAGAGGTATCTGAATGGTACGTAATTCGCTTTGAAAAGCTCAAAGATCACTTTCTAGTGTTTCAGATCTGTCCGCATCGTTACAAATCTGTTTTAGAAACTGATCCAAATTCTCCACTGAAAGACCTCGCACAGGTTCAGACGAATGAAAAGAAATACAACTGTCAAGGTAATTTGCAAGAAATCTACGATTTTCTACACACAACTCACCCAGAGTCTTTGTAACGCCATGAAGAGCTTCGTATTCTTGCTTTCGTCGCTCCATAAGTTCATTATCTACAGCCATGAGTAGCACTTGTGCGCATGGTCGTAGATCTCGCGCACTATAGCAAAAATGTCTGTGGAGACTGAACCATGGATACAAGTGGATGGTATCCACGATTCCTTCTGTTGTTACCGTTTATTATTAAACTTTTTTATTATTCTTTTCTTTGTGTGCATTTTTCATTCAGTATGTAGCAGCCCTGAAGATTTCTTATCTTAATAAAGATACGAAACGCGTCGAGAAATTAATTTCTACATATTATTCTTACACAAGCACACACTAATACATAATCGTTGAACTATCGATTGCTGGAAAGCAAGAGTTGTGGCCCGCAAATTCGATTTGTTCATCACAGATTGAATTTGTTTCTCTGATTTCCAATGAACAGATTTATTAGGTAAATATCTTATTTTTTTCATATGTTTCAACAAGTTGTTTTATTTGTTTTTATAGAGTTTTATCGAAATGCTTTTGTATTCTTACGTGGTGTTTGATAATAAAATGCTGACTGTTATTTACTTTTTGATAAGAATAATACATCACACACTTTGTTCATCTACATCTTTATTTAACTCTTCAAGCAAATAAAGATGTTTGGAGTTTTATTTTTCAGTCTTTTATACTATGTTGTTTATGCTGACAAATATTATACAATTAAACCGTATGAGGAGTATGTGTAAACTAATAAATATAAGTGATATTTTCCAAAAAAGAAAAGAAATTTTCTTATTTCAGTTCTAGTGTTTTCCCACACTATGGTAATTTTTCTGTCTTTGATACAAAGCTAAAAAGACTTTCTTTTATTGGTAATTTTACTTTTGATGTACATGATCGTTCAAGTGTGTACTATTTTATTGGTGGCCCTACAGCTGTGAATAGAAATTTAAATTATATTTATCTGCCTATTACTAGTGGTAATGCTTTCAAACGTCTTCTTTTAGTCGCTTATAATTATAAAACAAAAACATATCATCAAAGTCGTTGGGTGCACAATGATGGTAATTTTGGTTTTCTTTTTTACAATCCTTTAAGAAAACGACTTTTTGGTTTAAGAACTAATACTACATTTACATATTATATTGAAGAATATGATATAGAAACATTAGATACTGTTAAACTATATACACAACAAGATGTTAGAAAATATGCTTTTATTAATGGAAGATGTACTGCGTTTGATTATAATCAAAATTGGATTATACAAGTACGAGTTGGCTTTGACAATTCATCTTATAATTCTTATTGGATTAAAATGGACTTAAATTTAGTTGGTAAGAAAGAAGATATTGTTACTGATTTTCATCTTATGCCACGTGCATATTATTTTCTTACGATGACATATGATATTCAAAAGACAAAATTGATTTTTTGTACATGGCAGAATGGTTCAAGCCTGTTAGATATATACATGTTTCATTTAGATCCAAAGCAAAATGGAAAATTTCCTTATAGAAATCAACGTCTAAAATTATTATTGAAAACTAACGGAGAACAGGTTGAAACGGTTAGAGATGTATGGAATCCAGTCAAGAGAGAAATACTTTACCTGATTCAAACTAATACTGGTGCAACACGCAAAATAATAAGATATATGTTGAGAGTTCAATTCGATACACGACTAGTATTAGAAAAGACAATACTAACTGATAAACAGTTACCATTGCTTGATTCGTGGGAATATTTTTACTTATCTTAATTTTAAAATAAATGATTGCTTTCTATAAATTATTTATCTTCGACAACATTAACAAATGGTGTGAGGATGTCAGTCAAAAGCTATACCGTGACGCGTTTCGACCTTGCTTCAGGGCCTCATAAGACAATTCAATTGGATATGGACTCTATTCTAATGATCATGAAGATCACAAATAAGAGATTCATACTCAACTTAATCTATGATTGGCATTGACAAGGTTTCTGTATGATTTCCAAAAGGACGCCGCCGGCTTGCAAAAAGTTCTTGGAATGAGCTGAAATTTTGGCTAACAGTGTAGGTCAGCGAGATACATTTATGATAAAATTTTCAGTTCAATAGCTTTTGATACAGCCGAGTTATCATCAAAATATAAAATGCTAAAACAATGTAAAATGCCTCTTTGTCTTAGAGGTACAATTGGATCTCCACAAAGAAGTCTTGCCGCAAGATCAAATTTGCACGAAAACAGTCTTACAACCTAGGCTACCAGCCCTAAAAATTTCAAGGAAATTCATTTCGTTCGAAGCGAGAGGGTGGGTGTGAGGGTGTGGGTGGTGAGTTACCAGCTACCATAATCTAGATTTCACGTCGACTAAGACGATCATCAGATGGCAATAGACAACCTATTGAATTTTCAATAAAATTCAAAGGTTCAAATTAAAACAGTTAAAATTCAAAGATAAATGTGCCGACTTAGAAACATGTTCTCAAGTAATTGTTAATCGTGTACATAATAACTTGTTCCGCGCGCGCACATATAGGCTCATCCGTGTTCATTTGTTCTTCTCGTATATGTATCTCTTCCTTTCTGTTCTTCCTCCGTTCGGAATAATATGCACGGAAGTGGAACGGGCATATAAAAGGAAGGGATGAATTGAAAAAAAGGCAGTTGAACACACGACATATCATCTTGTTCGTTACAATAAATAAATTCAATGCTTTAAAAAAAATGAAAAATGAGCATAAGAGTTTGAAATAGGTTGGTACATCTCTGTTGTCAAAAAGATTTACGATTTCTTTTCTTAAGATGCTTTGCAAGCAAGCAACATCATTATTATGTGTTACTGTGCCGTGCTTAATCTCGTTCCTCTTGAAACAACACACGATAAGAACAGTAAAAAAACGCATATATGTGAGCCAATAAATTGATCTTCTATCCATTCAAGGGAACAAATTGCTCGTCACCAGTTTTCTTCATAGTCAATCAGGTTTGTGCATGCCTAAAAGTGTTACTTGGTAAAACCGATATTCAATTCACTTTGAGAACCAAAATCCCCTATAAAGTATATGATTTCACACCCAAACGAAGGACATACCAAGTGAAGCGAACAATGGCAAACTCTAATATACCCTTAATAATAAATAGTAAAGAACAAACTACCGAATATATCATTTTTTATTATTTATTAATGAGACGGGTGTGGGTGTGGGTGTATCTGCGAGGTGATGACGTCAACGGATCCACACCCACATCCCGAAGCTTTTTCAAGTCTACGGAACCTATTTTGGGGTTTTGGTAAAAAATCTTTTTTTTAGTTTATAGTCAACAGCGTTCAGCGAAAGTATCATGATAAAGAAATCAAGAGAATTATGTAACATCTGTATATCATTAGAAAAGTTTTTAAATTCATGTCACGATAAGAAGGTTGGATTTATTATTGACATAATTGATTAATTCTCTTCTTTTGTTTATATGATATACGTATTTTTTTTAATCTATCTTAATTTTAATTAACTTTGATATTATTACTTTCATCAAATTAAATAAAAATTGTGACGTTTCGTATCTCAATTAGACAGGCCTTCTGACATAAAATGACAACTGCATATAGAAAAAAATCAATTTTTTTCTTTTTTCAGTATTAATCATTCTTTTGACAGTGATACGAAAAAGGATTCATTCGAGATGTAGCTTTTACTATTACCATCTTGTGTTCTGTATCACTACCAAAAATATGACTAATACTAAAAAAGAAAAAATTTGATTGTTTCTATATATATTTGTCACTTTATGTCTGAGGATGCATCCCACCGAGAGACGGAACGCCATAATTTTCAATTATTTTAATCAAATTAATAATATCAAAGTTAATTAAAATTAAGATAAATTAAAAATATATATATCATATAAATAAAAGAAGAGAAATAATCAACTATGTCAATTATAAAAAAGTTTTGTATCATTAAAAGCGATTTATATCTTAAAATCTGATACACTCATTGGATGGAAGAAATGTAAATAATTTATATGAGTTACTTTGGTAAACTAAAAAACAACTGTGAGAACTAGCATAAAAGGAATGAAAAGATGATTTTTTATTTACTAATTTTCATGTATATAATAAAGCTGTAGCAATAACTATCGTAACTATTTCTGTTCCGTGTGACAGATGAAAGCCACTTGTTAGAGGGCAGTCCTAAGCTTGTGTGTGAGGGTATGTCAAAATGTCCGAATGACTACGATAGAGGCTAAAGATTAAACAGAGACAAGCTATTGAGAATTTTTGTTTTTAATTTATCGAAGCTGAACAGTTACCAAAAATCTATTCCCATTGGAATCTATGAGGACTTTTCGATAAGTTTTTTACGATGTTCAGACAGACACATACAGTTCTTTGATAAGAATTATATAGAATAAGTTCTCAATGAATAAATAAGTCTCCCATAAATTTTGATAGCTCACGGTCAACTCATTATTGTAGCTCCCACGTATAATCCAAAACAGAATATCTATACCTACATCAAGATCTTACAGAAAAAGGAAAAAAACTTAAATTTCGAATTGTTCGTGTCCGTGAGACATGAAACCTACCGTTACAATCGTCGTCTCTGACATTAGCTACGAATGCAGATGAATATACATGTAGAGAGAGAAATTCTCTTACTGGAAAAAAATTAAAAAAAGCATTTGAATTATTCATGCTTATGTTGACTCTGAATTCATGATATGAAGGGACTCTCAATAGTTTTCGCTGAAAAAAATCGTTAATTGTGTATGCTGAATTTCTCTAGCTTCATTAGCAAACACAAATGAAAAACATAATCAAGAATTTATATAAATAGGCGACCAAGTAAATACATAAATCCCAGTCGATTCATGCTCTTCTCGACGGTTACCCTTGATACTCAATAAAAGAAATGCAAACTGTTTGTGCAACCATGACCTCACTGTGACGATTTCTGATGTAGTAGATGTTGTATAAAGTGGGCACTAGGACAATTCGTCGCGAGACAATTCGTCGCATGGACAGTTCGTCGCATAGTCAATTCGTCGCAGACTATTCGTCGCAAGAAAAATATGTCGCACGGACAATTCGTCGCATATACAGTAAACATAATTTAATCTAGAGAGAGAGCAAAGAGAGAAAAGAATAATTGTGATAAAATATAGCATTTTATTTTTATTGGAAGATAAATGAAACAATTTATTGAGAGAGAGATCTTCTTAGAAGAGAAATTTTATTGAAAAAAAAAGAATAACAGAAAAAAGCACACAAAAGAAAAATACAGAATTACAGAAAATATTTACAATGACATATTTACAGCTAGTCCTTTTAAATACTCACCTAAATCGAGGTTGTGATAATCGTCGACCAGTCGTTTGATTCGTTCGTCCAATTTTCGATACTTGAGCTTCTTTGGCTTGGGTTCTTGTCCTTGGCGAATTTGTGCGATGTCGAGTTCGAACTTGGATTGTTCACGACGAATCTTCTCGGTTAATTTTGAGACACTTGGATGTACGATTGCAACACGTTTTGCGAATGCATTGTGCCATCCTTCAATGGAATTGTTTGAGCGTGGAAGATTGGCAACTATTCGATCATAAACATTCCAAAGTTCAATTGTAAATAGTGGTTTTTTTCGTCCAGTGCCTAAGAATCAAAATTAATATTCAGAGATTATTGATAAATCGATTTACCTCTCTTCTTCGGCTCTCCTATCCACGTTTTCTCAAAATAACCAAGGAAATCGTCCGCGTCGTCGTCGAAGTCGTCGACAATTAGATCGAAGGCTTTGATAACATCTAAAACAGGAACAAAAGCTAAAGCAATTAATTTTTTAATGTCCAAATGGAACGACTTATCCTCTTGGTATTTTTTTTGTAAGCCATGACTTTGAATTTGACGCCATATACATTGACCGAAGTGAAACAAACAGCCTGAAAAGAAATTTAACATAATTATTTGAGTAATCCGAGAAAAAACATCACTCTACCTTTATGAACGATGTTTGGAAACAATGAGTTGATTGATTTAATTGTCGCCGCTTCGAAATCGCTTAATATTGTTTCTGAATCGAAGTCATCTTCATCCATGATCCGCCGAAAGAAGTGATCATAGTCTGTAGTTTTTTTCCCAACAAGTAGACCGTAAACAAGTGGAATGACTTGTGATTTGTATAGTCCGTGTAAGGTAAACATTTGATAGAAGTCCTCGGGACACACCTATTAATAGATAGATAATTGGTTAATTGGAAGTCTATTTTTTCTTTTTTACTTTGAATGTTCCGTCGACAAACCAATGTTTACATGTTTTCAATACTGAGAGATTCGTCGCGGTGGTAAAAATAATCAATTTCTCATCTTCGTGAAGTACGAAATTCTCTCCACGGTCCGTTTGTTTTAAATTATCAGGTAGTTGGTTGTCGTTGTTCGTTGAAGACGCGGGACGCTGCCGACGAATAGTTCTCAAAAGTGTATCACCTTGAGGTAGTTGACCGGCAGCATCTAAAGGAAAAGATCTCATTACAGAGTGTAAAATAGCACTAGGAAATTCTTCGGTTTCAGCAGCCCGTGCTTTTATTTTGCTTTTGAGTTCGAATACTGGAACTAGATCTGGTGTGGGTGCATGGCAGTGTTTAGTTGGTCCCGAAAGAATTGCATCCATCGTCGGATTGGTGTGACAGCGACCTAATCAAAAATAAATATTAAATTTTAAATAGCCATGCTACTTCATTTCACCTTTGCAATCTCTGCGTTGACATCGAAAAATCAATTTGACGTCGATTTTTCGTTCTAAAGTATAAATATAACCTTCATAACTAAGCATATCTTTCCCCTTTTCAGTTTTAAATTTCTTGATAGCTTGTGTACTCATCACTTTAATGAACAGAACAATATGAATATTTAGAAGAAATGGCTGCTGTCATTGAGCAAGGGTTTTTATATTTATTCTTACAATTTATTGTTTTTAATGATTTTTTTTCAATTTCCTATCAAGCTATTAGCTTTTCCACGAGATTGATAATATCTTTCAAAATATAGTGGGTTTACTCATTAAGTTCAACGCATTCGACTTGATTTAATTATGTCGAGCGATATTTCATATTCTCTTTCATTAATTAACATTGCGACGAATTGTCCAGTCACCTAAATAACTGAAATTATCTAAAAGTAACACTGCTGAAATAAGTGATGGCATGACTCGCGCAACTTAAGAATTAAATACTTAAAGGAACTAGGTGAGAATTTAAAGAAGAAAACAATTGAATGCATAAATGAGGAGCAAAGTTGGACCTGGTAGGACCTTTTCTCTAACGATATAGTTTGAGAAGGTCGAATGATATTTCAGCATAAGTCATTACTCATATTTTTTACCTGATATCGATGTAACGAAATATTTTGTGGGTTATTATTCTTTGGTTCTGGGTGAATTGATAAATCAAAATATAACGTTACGGGTTTTGATGATATCTATTTTAATAATAATATGAACACACACAGATAATAACACTTTGACATAATATTGATAAATGATTACAACATGCACAATAATAATAAATGTTCAACGATAACTCTTTCACGATTCTGTATTGTAACTTCTACTTAATATTTCTAACTAACTAACTCTTTTCCTTACTATCTATACCACTACCTCTCAATACTACTCTAAAATTATCTAACTCTCACTTACTATATTTTCTCGTCCCTTTATACTCTCACTATTTTCTTTCTCTATTTCCTTCTCTATTTCTATTTATTACTAAAAAAAGGAAATTATAAACTAAATAGAGAATAATTTAGGCTCTTTCGATTATTTCATTGATTGACATAAACTCTTAAGCTCATTCATGTCATATTTGATCTAATGATGCACTAATAGTATCCAGAATACATTCTTTCCTATTATGTCCTAACCTTGCATTCATGCTTTTGTAAACATCGTAATAACTAATCGTTTTTGTCGACTACTCTAATTATCCGTATAAAGAATAAGAAGAAATTCCATAATGGGGAAACGTAGATATGTGAATTAGGAGGGATGTATCGTTCATAAAAAGGTAGACAGGATTTTCTGAATATATGAGAATATAGATTATTGGCACAATCAAGAAAATCAACTCCCCGATTAGTCATATCCATCTTGAAATCAATGCAATAATGGAATAATATTTATTATAGAGCATTTTTTTGTTACTGTCGATTCCGATGTATTTTTTACACTTAACGTCTTTTAGTGAACAGAAACTATATAGCACTATAAATTCTGCGTTGCCTTTTTTTTGGACTTTATTAATTATTCGTTAGATATAGACATCGATCAGTAGTGCCACGTGCGATCCGCTTTCGTAATGGTTCATTGTTTTTGAAATTTGTGGAAATCTATCCTGGAAATACTATGGTTACTACAAGAAACCTATGAAAAATACAATCTTGAAGAGTTCTCTAGTTTCTTATGACAGCATAAATTGAGATGACCGTGGGTCACTGAAATACACCAAGAATTTAATGAGGAATTTTGACGATATATACTAGTTGTATCCTTCTCTTCCAACGTTAATCACCTTTGACATCAATAAAAAGTGTTTGATATAGGAAATAAATATTCTTACAAGCTAGCTTTTCAGGAAAAGGCACAACAGTTTGAAAAGTTTTCATACCAGTCAGTATAAAAAAGGTTGTAGGGGTTGCTAAGTATATGGTCCGATGAAAAGTTCTCTACTTATTAGTATCAGACCTAGTGTCTATCGTTATTTCCTACAATTATAGCTTTGCATATTTACACTTCTTTTTTAAATAAAATTTTTAAATACTTAATAGCTGAAGGTTACATTTGTGAAACAGTGCCAGAAAAGTGCCAGAAATATTCTTAGTCAAAAGTAACAAATTGCACCTCGATAAACATAATGTTTTTTGAAGACAATAAATTTTAAAAAGTGTCGCCCAATAGATTGATGATTGCCCCTTATTGCCCAGTATTCAAAAACATTTTGCTGGTAAATGGCCCATGGCTCAAAAATTCTTGGCTACGCCACTGAACATAGAAATCAGAAATATGCGGTTTTCTAAATAGGAACTATTCTACTTAGATTTAAGAGAACGAAAAACATTCTAATAAAATATTTTGATCATAGAAAAAGACGCAAAATACGATAAGCAAGTTTAAAGATAAAAATACTACGTAATAGCCGACATATGAAATATCGGTTTCTAATATTCTTGTAAGTCGTATATTATATGTGTCTGGGGATACAAAATTGACAAGTTCATTTAACAAATAATTTTAATATTTTCACAAAGGTTCATAACACAATATTCGTTCTTAATATGGTCGTTTAATATTATACGTTCAACAAACATCACTCTTATATAATTTAGTTGAATATAGACTATAGATATTTTTTAATCTTTTTTTGAATAATTTTCACAAAAGAAAAATTGAGTTCATCACTTGAAACTCTTATGAGTAACGCAGTGGCGGATCCAGGAATTTTGAGAGGAGGCGGCGCGTTCTAAATGACATAATCGGATGCAGTAAAAAGATTTTCGAAAATATATAAATTATAGTTCATAATATGCCTATAATTTTATCCAAACAAAACAACTTATCTACGTAGAAATAAAATTGTATAATCAATCTAAACAGCTAATCGGCGATTGAATCTCTCGACAAATACATACATCAAAGTTAAATTCACTAAGACATGTTTCAGAAATTGTCGAGCGCGTAAATATGTTTTAAGTCATTTAAGAACTGAAAAATGATGTAATTGAGGTCGAGTGCTATTATTTGAACGTATGTTTTTCTTCTAAAAATTTAGTAATGTGACGATATCCTTTTCTTCTCTCCATATAAACATGATGTATTGGATATATCAATTTTTTGAATACATGCTAGAATGTCCTTTACGAAATGTCCCCGGGATTTGGTCCTAGGGAAAAATGTCCTTGAGGATTAATGTCCTTCGTGAAAAATGTCCTCTGGGAATGGTCCTTTGTATGAAAATGTCCTTTGTCGTCGATTATTGTTTACAAACAATGTTACTGAAATGTAGATAATGCTGTGATTCAAACATACTCCGGGAGATATTAAAGTTGGTTACAGAGAATTCATTTATATATGGAAAGAATCGAGTACGGAAGAGAGAAAAATTATTAAAGCACTATCAGTTCCTTATTTACTATATTGCATTTTTATAAATAAGCGAAGTAAAGTATTTTTAAATGGTATCGCAAGATATCATGGACGAGGATGATACATCATCCTCATTCTCTTCGCATTCATCTGAATATTTGTCGTCATCCTTATGTTCAAATAGCATTGTTATAAGAAAAACAAATCAAATAAACGAAAATCAAGATCGCTTATTAATGGTTATAATTTTCTATTCAAAAATTTTAATAATAAAGGAACTATTAAATTTTGGCGATGTGCTAGTAGAAGTTGCGGTGTCCCATGTAGCCGATTTTAGGAAATAATGGACATTGCAATGCATTATTTTACTATAGGAATGCAATGTATGCAATTACATGATAATGCAACCTATTTAATGCATTATAATGCGTTGAAAACTTCTTATTCGGCACTTGCTACATAATATCTATTAAATCGATATCCCGATTACCATAATTGGGTCTCTGTGATTCTGCACATCTATCCCCTTAACTT